CAGCCCCCTGCCCAAAGTAGGGCGATTCCTCCTCCCCCCCCCATAACCTCAGTCCCCTGCCTGCAGTGGGATGACCACTTTCCCTCCATTTCAGTCTCCTGCCCGCAGTGGGGCGATTCCTAAGCCCCCCCTGCCCGCAGTGGAGTGATTCCCCCCCACCCCCGCCCGGTGCGGGAAGGCGGCCAGGCGGTCCGTACCCGGTGCGGACTCAAATCCACATGTCTCCAGACCGTCCGGTCCAGCGCCAGCCTCTGCCACCGCCGGCAGACCCTGAGGAGAGGCGGAAAACGATCGGAACCGGGCGGGTGCCGGTACCGCTCCGGTTGAGGGCGGTGTTGGGGGGGGGTCCCCACCTGGCCGCCCGCAGCCTCTCCCGTAACGGCAGCAACGCCAGAACCTGCAGTAACACCGAATCGGGTAACACCGGCAATTCCGGATTAGCCACCGCCGCCATCTTGACCGTTCCCGACACTTAAGGCGGGTGTTGCGGGCGTCACTTCCGCTTCCGGCTTTAAGCTTCCGGATCCGGCGCGGTAAGGACTGTGGCGGAGTGACGCAGAGCTCGGTGGGTACTGGGGGGGGGTTGGGGGACTCCGGTGGGGTTAGAACCTCCCTGTTTAACCCTTTTCTTTACCGACAACTCTTTCCCGGTGCTTCTTTCCCCTTCCCGGTACCTCTCCGCTCCTCCCCGTTAACCCCCGGTCTGTTTTGTGCGTCTCCCCCGTTAACCCCCTCTCATCCCTCAGGCAGCCATGATCGAAGTCGTCTGCAACGACCGTCTGGGCAAGAAAGTACGAGTAAAATGCAAGTATCCCCGGGAACCGGGATGAAGGGGGGGGGGGAGGGTTGGAGACGGGGGGGGCGCTTCTCCCGGTTTCCCTCTGCTTTTTCCTTAACGGTTCCGCCAGCACCGAGGATTCCATCCGCGACCTGAAGAAGCTGATCGCGGCACAGACCGGGACTCGCTGGGACAAAATTGTGCTCAAGAAATGGTGAGTAGAACCGGAGGGGGGGTAGAAGAAGGCCCTGAACCGGGATGGCTGGGGGGGCGGGACCGATGGCCCCGGAGGGACCGTCAGTCGTCCCCCCCCGATCCCGGGCCGGTGGAGACGGTACCGGCCGCCTGATATCTGTGTTTTCCGTCCCCGCAGGTACACCATCTTTAAGGATCACGTCACGCTGGGCGACTGTATCCTTCTCTGGGCGGGTGTTTTATTTGGGGTGGGAAACTTGAGGCTGGATGCTCCCCCTCTCCTTTTTTCTTCCTTAACTCCATTCTCCAGATGAGATCCACGATGGCATGAACCTGGAGCTCTACTACCAGTAACGGCTCCCGTTCCTTCCCGCTTCCTCCCGGTGTTTTCCGTGGGATTCCCCCCCCCTCGCCCCCCATCTCTGCCCCGGTATGGCTGAGCTGGAGCCCTGTTTTGAGACTTTAAACGTGCTGTAGCTGCCCTGGAGTGTTTAAGTGGTTTATAATAAATGTGTTTCTCCGAGTTTTTGGTTGTGTGGCTACGGCGGGGGGGGGCGGGCGGCGGGGACCGGCACCGGACCGTGGGTTGCTGTACGCGTTCCTGCTGCTGTTGTCCGCCTGGGGCCGCCGTCAGGCTCCCGCGTCACGTGGCCGGGAGCGCTTCCGCCTTCAATGCGGCCTCCCGCCCGCAGCCAATGAAAGCTAGAAGGGCGGGTTTTGGGTTTTTTTTCCACCAATGGCAGTGCGGAGAGATTAGGCGCTGCCTTCCTTCGGACCAATGGGAACGGGGGGGAAAAGGGTGGGTTCGCCCCGCCTCTCCCCGCGCCAATGAGGCCGGGCCGGGTGCGGGAGGCGTAGCCGAGGGAAGATGGCGGAGGAGGAGAAGCTGCCTGCGGGCTGGGAGAAGCGCATGAGCCGCAGCTCCGGTACGGGTCAGCGAGTACCGGGAGCGACAAGGGGGCTGGGTGGTGCCTGCTCCTGGGGCGATCCGGTGGGCTCCTCGGGGCGTCGAGGGCCCGGCTTTTAGGCCCAGGCTGGGGTACGGCCCGGTGGGCCCGAGCTGGGCCTCGGTGGGGTCTGAAGGCGGCCGTCAGCGGTGCCCGGGGCTTGGGGGAGGTTGGATGTGGAGAATTGGGCTTGGGGTGGGCCTGAGAGCCAGGGCGGGGGTATGCGGGGTGCCTGGCTCCGGGGCTG